TCCCACCTAGAATTTAGGAAGGCAGACTTCAAACAGCTCAGAGGGAAGAAAGGTAGCACGAGGGCAAAGAAAGAACACAGGATCCGGAAGGTCTGACTGTAAATCATGACTATGCCATTTACCAGCTGTGTTATCTTGGTTAAGTTACTTAAACTCTCTGAGCTTCAGTTTCCCACAGGAATGACTAAGGAGGGAGGGAGAAAGAGTGAAAAAAAGAAAGGAAGGAATGGAATGAAACTGTTAGTTTTCTTGCACTTTCTACGTGGCTGCCCTCCCAAAAGGGTTGAAAGACTCTTAAAACTAAATTCTGGCCATATAATTGTGAATTATGCAGTGACTTGGAAATTCAAAAAAAAAAAAAATTGTGAATTAGTTTAATGAAGAAGTAAAAGGAAAGGTGCCTAAAGAAAATGATGCAAATGCACAGAGTTTTTTTTATCATGAGACATTAAAAAAGTAGAAAGAAGAATTTCTGACCAAGGATGAATATAAAATAGTAACATGAACTGCCAAAATCATGCCAGGGAGGCCTGACCCAAAATGAGCTAATTCTAGGGGGTGGGAAAAAAGAGGCTGTTTATAGTTTAGCTTGTATCAAGAAATAAATCAAAGAGGCCTTAAAGTCCCTGTGTTGATGCAGACAGTATGTTTTGTTTTAATGATATTAATAGTTAGGTTTTTCAAATTATAAAATATAAGCACATGTAAAAAAATTCCAGGCTGGCCGTGGTGGCTCACGCCTGTAATCCTAGCACTCTGGGAGGCCAAGGCGGGCGGATTGCTCAAGGTTAGGAGTTCAAAAGCAGCCTGAGCAAGAGTGAGACCCCGTCTCTACTAAAAATAGACAGAAATTAATTGGCCAACTAAAAATATATAGAAAAAATTAGCTGAGCATGGTGGCGCATGCCTATAGTCCCAGCTACTGGGGAGGCTAAGGCAGGAGGATCATTTGAGCCCAGGAATTTGAAGTTGCTATGAGTGAGGCTGATGCTACGGCACTCTAGCCTGGGCAATAGAGTGAGACTCTGTCTCAAATAAATAAATAAATAAATAAATAAATAAATAAATAAATAAGAAAAAGAAAAAAATTCTAATAATACCGTAGGGTATAAAATGAAAAATAAAATGATGTCGTGCTTACCAGACAACAAAAATAAATATGACCCTTTAATTCCTTTTTTTTTTTTCTGCCATCTAAACTTTGTCCATTAGACTGGAAAGGTTTAAGTAGACATTGGCAAGAAGTAACTGAGGATTATGGTAAGTAAGAAAATTTTAAGAGAACACCAAGGTGCTTTAAATGATTTTGCGTCTCTTGGCCTAAATAAATTATATGTCAGGATATTGAGAGAATCTATAGGTGAGATCACTACACTGCTATTTGTAACCTTTGGGGAATCATGGAGAATGAGAGAGATGCCGGAGGCCTACTACAAAAGGATATATGCTCCTTTTTAAAAAGGGAATAAGAGATTTCACAAGCTTTAGACAAATAGGTTTTATCTTAATCCCAGGCAAGTTTCTAGACTACATTATTGGAAGGGATGGTTCGCACGAAGAGTCCTTAGAAGAGAACTAGTGATCACAAAGAATTTATAAAACCCTTTACCTAAGAATAGCTCAAGACAAACTAAACTCATTTTCTTTTTTGAAATGAGCTCAGTAAATAAATGTAAATGGGTAAAGCTTGGAAAATGGGAAAGTCCAGCAAAGCATTGACAAAGTCACTCATGATAGATTTCTTTGTGAAAAGGTTGGAAAAATGTAGATAATACAGTTTATTGAGTGGGCAAATAATCATTCCAAAGTCTGCTAATTAAGGGATCAATGTTTAAGTTATTTATATACTACTTTATCTGTTGTGCCCACTAGAATGTAAGCTCTTAGAAGGAGAGACTTTGTCCTCTATTTTGCTCAATACTTTATCCCTGGTCCCTACAACAGTGCCCTGTCCATAGCAGAAAATCTTCAGGAAATATTTGTTGCATGAATAAAAGAGTCCAGTGGTAGGACTGCAAAGCACGTCACCAGGCCCTGTCTCAGCTGTCTCCTATTCAGTATGTCTTGTCATTTACTTGCTTAAAGACATTAGCTGGCATGCTGGCCAAATATGCAGACAATGTGAGCCCGACAGGGACAACTAACACACTAAGGATAGACTCTGTATCCAAAAAGACCCACTGGCAAGAGCAATTTAATAGTGATAAATTCAATTAGATTTGTAAAAACTGGAAATACAAGCAGAGACATCAGTTAATGGCATTATGTGTGGGGGGAAAAAAGATTCAGAAGTTTTCATTTATTCTTTCAACACTTTTTTTTTTTTTTGAGACAGAGTCTCACTCTGTTGCCTGGGCTAGAGTGGCGTGGCGTCAGCCTAGCTCACAGCAACCTCAAACTCCTGGGCTCAAGTGATCCTCCTGCCTCAGCCTCCCGAGTAGCTGGGACTACAGGCATGCGCCTCCATGCCCAGCTAATTTTCTCTATTTTTAGTTGTTTGGCTAATTTCTTTCTATTTATAGTAGAGACGGGGTCTCGCTCTTGCTCAGGCTGGTCTTGAACTCCTGAGCTCAAGCAATCTTCCTGCCTCTGCCTCCCAAAGTGCTAGGATTACAGTCATGAGCCACCACGCCTGGCCTCAACTCATATTTTTTGAAAGTGCAAGGCACTCTGCTAGACCCTGGGAATATATAATGGTGAGGAAAACACACCATCTACTATCTACCCTCATGGAGCCTAACAACTATTGGGGGAAACAGACATTAATCAAATTATTCCACAAACAAATATTTTAAAACTGTGAAGAATAAAACAGAGTAGTAACTAAGACAGCATATAACAAGAGAACCTGGCATGTATATGTGTACATTCATGTATGTCTATACACATACACACACATTTATTTCCTAGTTCCGTCCACTAAGAGGACCTGGAAGGTGAGTACACCTCTAGGACCCAGATCTTGGCACTACCTGCCCTCTTCCATTAAAGGGCAGCATGGCTCCTTGGAGAAATGACTCATTCCAGGGTTTGGGCAGGGAAAGTTCAAGATGAGCCTAGAGCATCTTATTGTGCCACAAAGTAAGGAAGTACTCAAAGAATGATGGGGACATGTTAAAAGGGTGTAGGAGCCAGCTTTGGGCAGCAAATAAATAGCAATAATAGTGGATTATAACCAGTTGAATAAAATAGAAATCCATTAGTCTGTACTAAAATGTATTTTAAAAACATGAATAAATAAATAAGGGGGGAAGAAAAACCTCTATTTTACCAGTGCCAACAAATAAATGAACAGGGAATGATGGAAAAATCAACATTTAGCAACCATGACAGTGAAAATGGATTCAGGCAAGAATCACCAACGGATGCTAAAACTAGTAGTGAAAGTTTAATGAGGAACAGGATACTTAGTCTCAACGTAGCTTCCAACAAGTACTTCATAATTACTTAATGACTAAGTACAAAAGATTTATCAATTAATTTTATTTTGTAGAAACCTGGCAGACACCATCTTAACCTTAAGCAGTAACAGGGCAAATTGACATCGTGTGCTTCTTGGTATGATGCACCGAGAAGAACACATCACTTCCGTGGAATGCCTGCCCCGAATGCATGAACTGGATCTAATCATTAGGAAACATCCAGTCCACTTAAATTGAGGTTCATGCTCAAAGTAATTAGCCTGTACTCTTCAAAATGTCACGGTCATGAAAGATAAAGACTGAGGAACATTTCAGTTTGCAGGAGATGAAAAAGACATGACAACTAAATGCAACTTAGGATCCTGAAGGACTTTACTAGGACAATCAGTGAAATTTGAATGGGGTCTGTGGATTAGATGGTAAAATCATATCATTGTTAATTTCCCAACTTTGATGGTTTTGCTGTGGTCATGCAGGAGTATCCTTGTTTTTCTGAAATACACACGGAGGCATTAAGGGGAAAGGGGGCAGGATGTCTGCAAATTAATCTCAACTGGTTCAGAAAGAAACAAAAAGAGGGCAAGTAATAAGGAAATGCAATAAAAATGTTAACAAATAGTAAAGCTGGGTGAAGGATGTACGGCAATTCTTTGTGCTTACTTGTAACTTTTCTTAAGTATGAAACTATTTCAAAATCAAAAGTTTAAAAACGTTAATACAAATCCAGTGGGGGGAGGGGAGGCAACATGGTCTTAACAGCCAGTACACTAATGCCAGTCTAGCCAGAATGACGCTGCTCCGTTCTGCGTGGGTCAGACCTCACTGGAACACAGGATTTGGCTCTTGGAAGGCGAAGTAACCAGATCACATTAGGAACAGCTAAGGGGTCCGAGGATGTTTAGCCTGAAGGAAGAAAAGCCTGGAGGACAGGGAGGCGCCTGACTCTGTCTTCAGTTCTCCAGAGGGTGTCTGGGATAGAGGAAGCAGACTTGTTATAGGGAGCCAGACTTCTATTGAGTGTGCGGAAGGCCTTTACACCAATTAGAGAGTAAAAATAGGTGGATTGAGCTATCTCGGGGGTTCCCTAACATAAGATATATCCTAATATAGACTGGGCAACTGATTCTCAAGGATGTCAAAGAGAGATTTCATCAATCAGACAAATGCTAGGCCCAATAACCACTAAAGTCCTTTCAATGAAGAGTCGACGATTCTCTGTTATCTTTGGGTACTGGGAATTTGAGCACTTCAGGAATAAAATGCAAGCTGTGTTGGATTGGGACGAACAGTTCCTTTTGTTCACATGGGGCATAAACCATCTCGCTCTCACATGGGCTATTTCAATACCAGCCTTAGCACTTTGGAAAATTCATTTGTCCCCCAGAAATGAACTGTTCACTGAGGAGAAAGTCAACATGCTTTTATTTTAGAAAACTGCACTCAACAACATGAAAATAGGGTCTAAGCAAACAGAAATAAAAGCTCAAGAGAACGTCTGGCAAAAATTTAAATAGTCAGCATCTCAGGACAATACATCTTCTTCAAGTTGCTGTGAGCTTGCCTGCTCATCTGCCTTGCTCCAGTCGTTCTCACTCTTCATTAAAAAGCGAGCCCTTCTTTTTATCTAATGCTTCCACAAGCTTACCATATAGAACATTCATCTGGGAAAGAGAATAGCAAATAGATTTCTTGAGAGGAAAAGGAATTGTGGGAAAGCTTCCCAGATTCATGGTGATGGCATTAAAGTCTAACCCTTCCCTTCTGAGATCTGAGAGATCTCAGATTTGGGGAGCAAATACAATCCTCTCTTGAGAAGTAGAATCCCATATTATAAGGGAGAAGGTACTTAAAACATAAAAGATCCTTTGTTCTCATTTGGTAACAAGGATTTTTCTCTACCAAATCTCTCCTGGTTATCTAACAGCCCAGAAGTCTGCAACTGTGACTAGTTCCTGGAGAAAATGCCTTTTTAAACAGTCATCGCTTTGAGCAGAGGCCAGTCCTTCCCCACATAGCACTGGCATTGACAGCGATGCATCTTTCCAGAGCTCGCTCTTGGCATTCCTCCTAATTACATTCCATTTGCTATTCCTAAGTTTCCCCCTGCTTTCCATCCTTCTTGGTTTTTACTCTAAGAAATTACTGTTCCCAGTCCTCTAACTCTTAAAGTTATATGGAACCACTGAGAGTACAATGATCAAGATCCTTTCCTTGCCAAGCATGGTAGGGTTGAGTTCTTATGGAAGGCCCAACTAGAACCTCTTTGGCCCCTAAGTCATTCTGCCCACTCCTGGTCCTCTCCTTCCTCACCTGAGTTTCATAGCTTCTCTTGAGGGAGCCAAGGTGGTCAAGGAAACGCAATGCTAGCTCACACCATTTTTCGGCAGATACATACTTGCTTCTGCTGTACATAAATATTCCAGTATTCCAGGACTTGATCATCAGCCAGAGAATCTCTGTTTCTGGGTAGCCTTCCTGAAATCCAAAAACAGTGCATGTTTTGCAGTTATTACTGTTACAGCTCATAGTAGCACTATCTATATCTGTGCTGTGTCCCATTATTATTAAACAACAGGTGCTCTGCTAACACTGAGGAAGGTCCATGCTCCTGGAGAGTACGAGGAGAGCACCTTGAAGTTTTGTCAGCTGTTGAATGTTCCACAGCAAGATCTCAGGAAGAGACATATACTGAAAAAGCAATGAGCCTCTCCTCAACTGAAGGAAAGAAGGAGAGAGAAAGAGATTTTGGGTCTCCCTGATGCATGAGAAAAACCTGTATCCTGTTTGGGGCTTCCCTTAATGCTGTCCTCAGTCAATTATCTCCCCAATATCTACCTCTACCACAGAGAATGTTGCCAAGAAGCAGTTTTATTTTATTTTATTTTATTTTTAGTTTTTTGAGACAGAGTCTCACTCTGATGCCCAGGCTAGAGTGCCGTGGCATCAGCCTAGCTCACAGCAACCTCAAACTCCTGGCTCAAGCGATCCTCCTGCCTCAGCCTCCCGAGTAGCTCGGACTACAGTTGCACACCACCATGCCCAGCTGATTTTTTCTATTTTTAGTAGAGTCTCGCTCTTGCTCACGCTGGTCTCGAACTCCTAACCTCAAGCAATCCTCTCACCTCGGCCTCCCAGAGTGCTAGGATTACAGGTGTGAGCCACCGCGCCCGGCGAAGAAGCAATTTCATTGAATCTCTTAATTTCCTTGATCAGAATCAGTCCATGTTTAGAATAAAAACTATATTAATCTTTGGCACTGACAATATCTACATAGCTATGAACAAAGGGCACATTTCTAAGAAGGTCCCTTAGCCTCATCAGTGGTCTTTAACATGATGAATCACAAGGTCATAACAGCTTTTCCACAACACTTCTGCGGTAGTGAGAAAGATGAGTCTACGAGCAGCTACTTTCTCTGTTCTTGCACACAGGAGCTGGGGCACAGAGAGAGCATTTATGCTACAGCCCTTCGTCTGCACAATAGGCGTCAGGCCCGTGAATGAGGAAATGCAACCGGAGATGTGGGCAGCAGCTACTTGAGTGTGTCAAGGATGTTGTCTCAGCTGTCATTCTTTCATTCGTTTGGATCCATAAAAATAGTACTACTCATAGAACACTGTGACAATGAGGGCGCTAACAGGGATAAGACAAAACTTTTATCCTAAAGGATACACAATGCGTTTGGGGAGATGAGGCATCCACATAGAAAGATGACTTCATAAACTAGGTGATGATTAAGGGCTACAGTGACACAGGCCTTGGGTGCTTTAGTTCAGTAAAAGAAATGAGCACTACTGCAGCGGTCCCCAACCTTTTTGACACCAGGGACCAGTTTGGTGGCAGACAGTTTTTCTGGGGGTGGGGGTGGGGGTGGGGGACAGCGTCACTGCCTCAGCTCCACCTCAGATCATCAGGTGTTGGATTCTCACGGGGAGCACACAGCCTGGATCCCTCAAATGTGCAGTTTGCAGTGGGGTTTGTGCTCCTAAGACGGTCTGATGTCGCTGCTGATCTGACAGGGGGCGGGGCCCAGGCGAGCGGCTGTGGGTGCCAGGGTTGGGGACCGCAGAGCACTAGGACAGCATAGTCAGAGGGGATCTATCTAGTCTCTGCCTTTGTCCACTTGGTAAATTTCTACTTTTTCGTCAAATTCACAGGCAGAGTTAGTTATTTCTTTCTGTTCCCGTAGCAGGTTTTACACTCCTCTAATGTAACTTAATGTCATACTCTTTTGAAACATTATATATCTATCTCCTCCAGACTGTTGAGTTCCTTGAGGTACAGGGAACTCTTGTTCATTTTTGTATCCTCAGAGCCCAGCACTGTGCTTGGCACTTAACAGAAGCACAACAGATATTTGCTGAATGAATGAATGAACAAAAGAACGAACAAATGAATCAACATCCAGTCAAATGCTACCTCCTCAGTGAGAATTTTCTGGACTCTCCACAATTGATTGCTCAAACCTCTTTTGTCCCTCTGGGACTTTGTTCACAGTACTTCTAACGCTGCACTGTCTCCTCCACTAGTCAGGGAGCTTGGTGAAGGCAAAATGTCTTTCATCTTTGTACATTCACAGCCTGGTACAGTGTCTGATACGGAGTATGAGTGTTGTGATTTTAACTGAATGAATGAAGAAAAATGACTTAACAAACAAACAAACAAACATGATCTTACAGTAGATGAGTAGACTCTAGATTTATAGAGATTATATGAAATGCTCAGAATAGGCAAATCCATAGAGACAGAAAATCAATTAGTGTCTACCAGGCCCTGGAGGAGGGAGGAATGGGGACTGACTGCTAAAGGATATAGGCTTTCTTTTGGGGGTGAATTATAAATATTCTAGAATTACATAATGGTGATGGTTGCACAATCTTGTGAATCTACCAAAAACCACTGTCTACTTTAAAATGGTGAGTTTTATGATACATGAATTCAATCTCAATAAAATATAAAAATATATTAATAGATATACAGAGAAAGAGAAGGGTGTTCCATATGGGCAGAACAGAAAAAAGACTTGGTTAGTACTTGAGAGCAAGTGTGTCTCAGGGAGACTAAGAATTGTTTGGCCTAAGCAGATGATTTATGTAGAGGAGTTAATGGGAAATAAGAGTGACGTAAGGAAATGACATTAAAGGATAACTCTGAGCCATAGGAAGAAATGAAGAGAACCAGAAATTTTAAATAGAAAGTTAATGTAACAAACTATAAATATCTACTTGCATTTATTACTTCCCTCAGCTTCTTTGAAACACAAAAAAATATATAAAGTAATTATAATCATCATTATATATATATATTTTAGAGATGGGGTTTCACTCTGTCACACAGGCTGAAGTGCAGTGGCACTGTAGCTATTATTGTTCAATTGTCTATTTCAAAACTTACTACAAAGCTATAATATTAAGAAAATGTGGTACTGACATAAAGATAAGCATATAGATCAATGAAATAGAACATAGAGTCCAGAAACAAACCCTAACATTTTTGGTCAATTTATTTTTGATAAGGTTGTCAAGACCATTCAATGGGGAAAAATAATCTTCTTTGTGCTGTTATTTTTTTTTTTTTGAGACAGAGTCACGCTTTGTTGCCTAGGCTAGAGTGAGCGCCCGTGGCGTCAGCCTAGCTCACAGCAACCTCAAACTCAGGGCTCAAGCGATCCTTCTGCCTCAGCCTCCCAAGTAGCTGGGACTACAGGCATGCGCCACCATGCCCAGCTAATTTTTTCTATATATATTAGTTGGCCAATTAATTTCTTTCTATTTATAGTAGAGATGGGGTCTCACTCTTGGTCAGGCTAGTTTTGAACTCCTGACCTTGAGCAATCCTCCCTCCTCGGCCTCCCAGAGAGCTAGGATTACAGGCGTGAGCCACCGTGCCTGGCCTTGTGCTGTTATTTTAAAAATATTTTATTGATATGTAATATTTAAATATTTAATTTTTTAGAGCAGTTTTAGGTTCACAGCAAAATTGAGAGGAAGGTACAAAGATTTTCTGCATATTCCCTGCCCCCCCCCACATGCACAGTCTCCTCAATTATCAACATCTCCCACTCGAGTGGTACATTTGCTACAATTGATGAACTTACATTGATATATCATAACCACCCACAGGACTGCATAATGTATTAACCTATCTTAAATCTGCTAATTCTTCTCCTGCCAGTTCAAATCTATTGTTGAGCCTCTCTAGTGAATTTTTAATTTCACTTACTGTGGTTTTCACCTCCAGATTTTCCATTTGGTGCTTAAAAATATTCTGTGTCTTTACTGGTAGTCTCTATTTGATGAGACATTATCATCATGCCTTTTTAAAGCAAAGCATGGTTATCTTTAGTTCTTTGAACACATTTGTAATGGTCGCTCTGACATCTTTGTTAGATATGATATCTGGACCCTCTCAGAGATAGTTTGTGTTGCTTTATTCTTTTCCCTGTATATGGGTCATACTTTCCTGCTTCTTTGCATGTCTTACACTTCTTTCTGTTGAAAACTGAACATTTTGGGTAATATATTGTAGCAATTCTGGAGACTGATTCCCACCACTCTGGGGCTTCTTTTTGTTGTTGTTTGCATTTTATTTAATAACTCGACTAACTTATTTATTTTTTTTTTTCAGTGGCCAGTTACTAGATAGACTATTTTAGCAAAGTCTATTTCCATCACATGTGAAGTGTCTTATGTTGTTTCTCAAAGAACATTGTCTTAGTTATGTGCTGTCACCCTAGGATGACATTATAGCAGGGCTTTCTTTGTCTCTTTCTCTGAAGCTTCTGCTGGTATCACAACCAGCTGTTAGGCTCCACTAATTGCATGATGATTGCTCTATTGTTTTTAACAATGCCCTGGGGCATAAATTGTTCCACAGTCTGATCCAATTAAATTCAGGCCACTTTGCTGTGTAGTCTCTAAGACAAGTCTTTGTTCTGACCCCAGAAGGCCACTTCTTGGCTATCTCTTTTCATAATTCTTTCTAGTAATCTAGCTGATCTGTGGGTTAGCTTGCTGTTCAAATAGAGCTACTATCTTCCTCTTAATTGCTTACCACCAAAATCTCCATTGTTTTCAAGAGTGCTTTTTGACTTGAACTTCCCCACGTTCTGTTTCAAGTAAAGTCAGTTCCTTTGAGGAGAGCTCTCACTTCTTAAGGATTGTCTCTCCCCCTGGGAAAAATCTCTGAGCCCCTGCCCCAGAGCTGCAATGGGGGTGTGTGAACCCCTTTTCTCTGACACTCCTGCTTTAAAAGCAGGGTCTAGGTAGGGCAGAAGGTTCTGGTCTTCTTGGCTTACCTCTTTGGGGGTGGAACCTCTGCCCCTATGAATGGGCTGCAGCAGAAAGTCTCTAGAAATCTCATTTTATCAATGAGGAAACTGAGGCTCAGATGGGGCTGCACCATCTTCCCAGGGTCACATAGTGTATTTATGGCACAAATGAGACTAGAAAGAAGCTAGGGGCAATGACTCTTGG